TTCGACTTCATGGGGTCCCGATTTCTATAATATCGGATAGATGCACCCGGTTTGCGGCTAACTTCTAAAGATCATTCCAGAAGGTATTGGGTACAAGGATCAACCTTAGCACGACTTTGAATCCACAAACACACGGCCAGGCCGAGCGCACTATTCAAACGCTCAGGGATATGTTACGAGCGTGTGTCTTGGACTTCAAAGGAAATTGGGAGGATCATCTACCACTCATCAAATTTTCTTACAACAACAGCTACCATGCTAACATTCAGATCGCACCGTATGAGTCCATATAAAAATGAAAGTGCAGATCTCCTATCGACTAGTTTGAATTATCCATAAAGTGGGTCAATTGGCTTATAAGCTTGAACTGCCCCCGAAATTGGAAGTAGTGCATCCTGTATTCCATGTGTTTATGCTTCGAAAGTGCTTAAGAGATCCATCCCGCATTACCCCTATTGAAGGCATTCGAGTAATAAAGGATCTATCTTACGAAGAAATTTTGGTGGCCATCATAGATCGACATGTCCGCAAACTGCGAACTAAAGAGGTAGTTTCTATTAAAGTACTTTGGAGGAACAACAATGTAGAGGAGATAAAATGGGAAGCTGAAGAATATATAAAATCTAGGTACCGTCATTTATTTCACCCCAGAGAAGGTAACATTGAGATTACTACGGTAGGCGCAACCCTAGATGACTAAAAAGACTCGCAACGAGTGGTTACGATCCAACATTCGAGGATGAATGTTCTGAAAGAGAGGGGGATAATGCTACACCTACACCTAAATAAATCTTGGTCAGTTTGGCTTCTAGCGCGGCCGATACACTGACGTCGCATATGAGAGAAGAAGGTGGCTACACGTTTCTGTGGACTAGAACCAAATGTCTCACCGGGTGTAGTGACTGGTGCGGGGCGACCCATTTTTTTTGCATGTGGAGCGGCCAAAATTCTTATGCTTTGTAACAGTATAAAAAGGGCAGTGAGGCTATTTCTCTTTCATTCTAGGAGTTATCACCATTATTAGTTCTCCCGAAATGCTGTCAACACCCCTTTAGAATTCACAAACCGTCTAAGGCAAGGTCGAAGTTGAATCTAAGAGAGTATGGTGTAAGGGAGCTTGGAATCATTGCTATTATGTCTATCATCTTGTTGTATTGATTATGGAGATTTGTTGGAGGCAAAATTAACCATCATAGAAATGTAGCTAATTCTTCGACAAGGTATGTAAGGCAACTTCCTTCCTTGACATGATTTGGTGTAATCTTCTTTGTCTCTCCCTCTAAAGGATTTCTATATGGTAAGGATTTGGTTGCTCTAAGCCCCTCTTAATGACGTTGTTCTTTTCTTGTACATTCTTGCCGGTGGTATTTATTTGCAAAGTATATAATGTTCCCAATTTGCATCTTGAGGTCGGAGTGTGTGATTTATTTTGAGTTTAAACTTGTTGTCCCTTAAAATTGACATTGCATTGTACTTATATATATGTATTTATTTACTTTACCGAGTCGCGCTATAGTCGGTCAGGTACAGCATCTATTGTGCAACCGCTAACCAGTTGGGTATGATAAGATATGATATGAGATACTAACGAGCCCTTGCGTGGCAGGGTACTATGATGTGTGATGTGAGGCTACTAAGTCCTCTTGAGACCGACTACGCCGAGTCCTGTTGAGGCCGGGTACAGTCGAGACCTCCTGAGGCCGGGTATAATCGAGTCATCTATGAGGCCGGGTATGTAGTAGTGTGATGTGAGGCTACCTAGTCCTCCTGATTCTGACTACTGTCAAGACCTCCTAGGCTAGGTACGACCGTGTCCTCTATGAGGCTGGGTATTGAGTAATGAAATGTGCCCCAAAGGAGTGGCTGAATATACGTATACATATATATTATAACTAATTCATGGCCCCAATGAGTGTCTTGGTTTTACTAGAGTTTGCATACATTCATGGTACATGGCTTATAGCTTCCACAGTTTACGCCTCCAGTGGCTTGTCTTCAGTATTCAATTTGAAATCCAGTACGCATACCTCATATGTTATATCTCAGATCTACATGGTTTCTTAGTCTTACATACTCAGTACATTTTTCCGTACTGACCCTCATTATTTCTTGGGGCGTTGTGTTCATGCCCACAGATACAGATAGACCCGGTGATGTCCTTCCCCAGTAGGGAGTTTGTTTCCAACTGATTGGTCGTTGCACTCTACTTCTTTAGAGTAGTTGTTTAGAGATCGATAGGTACTAAAGCATTTGTTCTAAACAATTTGGGTACGGTGGGACCCTATCTCGACCAAGTCGTGTATATGTATATTCTCTTGGTATTCTTAGAGGCTTGCAGACTAGATTTTGGTTGTATGTAAAAGGGTGGATTATGACTCTATTTCAGTTGTGAATATGTATAAAATGTCAATGTTTCTTTTGCAAGTCAGTTGTACACATTTTAATTTTGGTATTGTTACTTGGAGGCCTCGTTGGCCCAGGTTTAATGATTAAAGAGGATGTAAGAATGAACATCGATTTGCACGGGCCTTCGGGCGTCATGTGCTGGTCGCACCTCCCAAGGTTGGGGTATGACACTGTGAGCCTCGGTCAAGATTATCTCTTGGATACTATCTATATTCGGAACACACAATCACTCGTGATACCTTAGCATACCATTATTCACACCAAGAGAAAGAGACATGGTTTTGTTTGAATCCCCTCCTTTAATTGCACCAAAAATAGATCATCATGTTGTTTCTCCTTGACTTTCACTACCAGGGACGAGTCAGATATATTTTTCACAATTACCTTACCTTCGCTAGAGTCCGTGATCTGGACTCCCAAACTACCAACCGGTGAACTTCCTTGGCCATCAGCCTTTGGTTTGCCTCCAAGTGAGCTAAACTACCCATGGATTTCCGGCTAAGATCATCCACCACAACATTAACTTTCCCCGGATAATAGAGAATGTCGATGTCGTAGTCTTTATGTAACCCAAGCCATCTCCTTTGCCTCAGATTCAACTCCTTCTACTTGAATATATATTGAAGACGCTTTTATGTGATTCTTCGAGTTGACAAATAACCAACCGGCCAGGATCAAGATATTGAAACGAAAATGTGGTTTATGGGCTGATTTCAAGAAACATCGTATCTCAAGTTTTAGGACTCCGAATATGATGATTCAAAAACGAGGTGAAAGATGACGATTTGAACTATAAGAAAGCGTATTTACTCGTTCAAAATAAGTAAATATTGATGTTGCACTAGTTCAATGAAAGTTATGATTCTTTGATATAAAAATAACGAATTTAGATCAAGAAACGTGTTCTTGAAAGATCAAGAACTAAACAAGTTCCTAAAGTCACCACTTGGAATACATTAACGTGATAAAGAAATACCACAAGCAACTGAAAATAAGATAAAGACTATCACCACCTTTCTTGGAACCAAAAATAAGGATAAAGAAGAAAAAATAGAGAAAAACACTCTATTGTAATACTAGGGCAAGCCTCAAAAACGAGAATTGTATTCTACAAGGCAAGAGAACTCTTTATATAGGTATAGAGTTTCTTATTTTATGACAATAATTTCTATTCTAATAAGGAAATAAAATAACTAAAGAAAAGGAAAGTAAAATCCCTATTCTACAAGGAAACGAAACTAGAATCCTACCAAAAGGAAAATCCTTATTCTAAGAGGAAAAAAATAAATCCTATTTTAAGAAAGAAAGGGTCTTGGCTTCTTTAAATTAATCTTGGGCTTTTTGAACTTGAAGACACGTCCACACACCTATTCATGGGCATATAAGAACTTGTTTTTAGGCTAGCTAAATAACAAAAGGCTAATATAGCTTCTTGATTTGTATCATTCTCCCCTGGTTGAAAAGGACTCGTCCTCGAATCTAAAGGCTCCATAAATGGCGCAAGGTCACCAATATTAAATATTGATGACACCCCATAATCGTCCGGTAGATCCAATCTGTAAGCATTGTCACCTAAATTTTGAACAACTCGAAACGGACCATCAGCTCTTGGTTGCAACTTTGGATACTTTGGTTAGGAAATATTTATTTCCTCAAGTATACCCAGACTAAGTCTCCCACATTAAAGAATTATTATTTTCTCTTCTTATCAACTTGTTTCTTATATGCCTTTGTTTGTCTCTCAATCTCTTGTACTACTTTCTCATACAACCTTTTCAATTGCTTAACCCTCTCATCAACATCTCCACTAAAATAATGGGTTTTAAGAAGAGGAGACAAGTCTAATAGACTAAGAGGATTCTTACCATAAACCACTTCAAAAGGAATTTTTCTAGTTGTTTGATTCACAGACTTGTTGAAAGCAAACTCAGCATGTGGTAGCAAGGATTCCCATTCTCTTATGTTCTTCTTGATGAAACTTCTTAGCAATGCACCTAAACTTTGATTGACTACCTCTATTTGTCGATCTGTTTGAGGGTGATAAGATGAGGTATATTTCAACTCCGTACCAAGCTTAACCTATAAAGTACACCAAAAATGACTGAGAAACTTAGTGTCACGATCAGAAACAATGCTTTTTGGAATGCCCTGTAACTTGAAAATATTGTTAAAGAACAAAACAGCCATATGAGTTGCATCAATTGTCTTGTTACATGGGATAAAGTGTGCCATCTTACAGAATCTATCAACAACAACAAAGATCGCATCCTTACCTCCTTGAGTCCTTGGCAATCCAAGAACAAAGTCCATGCTAATATGTTCCCACGGTGTTTTAGGAATTGGCAAAGGCACATATAATCCCTTATTGCTCTCATGCATTTTTGCTTTTGTACATGTTTCACAATGCTCAATCAGCCTCAACATATCTTTGTTCAATTTAGGCCAGTAATCATCTTCAATGTTTTAGAATGGCCAAAATGACCAGCTAATCCGCCCTCATGTGCTTCCCTCACAATGGACTCCCTTAAAGAGCTTTGTGGTATACAAAGCCACTTTCCATAGTAAAGAAACCCATCTCGAATTACAAACATTCTTTATGGACCGTCCAAGCATCTCTTCCAAACATATCCAAAGTCTAGATCATCTTCATAAAGCTCCTTGATATGGTCGAATCCATATACATTAGTTCGCATCATATAAAATAAACATGGTCTTCTACTAAGAGCATCAGCCACTTGATTGAGGTTTCTAGCCTTGTGCTTGATTACGAACTGAAAATTATGAAGGAACTCTACCCGTTTTGCATGCCTTGCGTTGAGCTTTTGTTGGTAACTAAGATACGTTAGTGCCTCATGATTAGAATATTGCACAAAATCTCTTGGTAATAAATAATGACGCCAATGTTGCAACACGCGAACAATAGCATAGAACTCTTTTTCATAGGTGGAGTACTTCAATTTAGATCCACATAGCTTCTCGCTAAAATAAGCCACGGGTTTATCTTCCTTACTAAGAACTCCTTCAACAACAACACCCGAAGCATCACATTCTACTTCAAATAAAATATCAAAGTTAGGCAACTGAAGGATAGGAGCTTGTGTCATCTTCTTCTTTATCAATTCAAAACTCTTTTGAGCTTCTTCATTCCACTTGAACATGTCTCCTTTCAAACACTCAGTTATAGGGGCAACCAAAGTGCTAAACGTTTTGATAAATCATCGATAGAAGGACACCATTTCATGAAAGCTCCTTATATCCGAAATTGACCTAGGAATTGGCCAACTTATGATTGCTTCAATCTTGTTTGGGTCAGCTTGAATACCAGCACTAGTTACTATGTAACCAAGAAAGCAAACACTATTAGTATAAAGATGCACTTCTTGAGTTGTGCATATAACTTCTTTCTCCTTAAGGTTTCAAAAACTTTCTCCAAATGCTTTCCATGTTCAACTTCCTCTTTGCTATAAATTAGGATATCGTCAAAGTAGACAACAAAAAACTTCCCAGTGAATGGTCTAAGCACATGAGTCATAGGCCTTGTGGATGTGCTAGGAGCATTCGACAAACCAAAAGGCATTACCAACCATTCATACAAGCCTTGGCCAGTCTTGAAGGCAGTCTTCCATTCATCACCTTCTCTCATACAAATCTGGTGGTACCCACTCTTCAAATCAATATTTGAAAAGATCTTAGAACCATGTAATTAGTCAAATAGATCATCTAACCTTGGGATTGGGAAGAGATATTTGATAGTAATCGTGTTGATTGCTCGACTTTCAACACGCATCCTCCAAGTACCATTTTTCTTAGGAACAAGCAAAGCAGGTATGACATAGGGACTAAGGCTCTCCAGTATTAAACCCCTCTCCAATAGCTCTTCGACTTGCCTTTGGAGTTTATCTTGTTGTGTAGGATTCATCATATAAGTTTCTTTGTTTGGAAACGATGCTCCGGGTATAAAGTCAATTTGATATTGAATATCGTGCATGGGTGGAAGTTCTAACGAAACATCTTCAGAGATCATATCATCAAACTTAGCAAGTAACTTCTTGGCTCGTGTATCTAACTCATGCTCCTCATCTTGTGAGTCTTCCATGGATATTTCTATGTACAATGGCTCTCCTTTATTGATGTGGCCAATAATTTGTGATCTGTTCATTAGCATATCAGACAAGGTCTTTGCCCTCTTTGAAAGTTCTTTTGGGTGCAATGGCGTCAAAACAATCTTACGTCCATCAATTATGAATGAATAGGTGTTACAGTATCTATCATGAAAAGCACGCTTATCATATTGCCATGGTCTTCCAAGTAATAAATGGCAAGCATCCATCTTTACCACATCACACCAAATATGGTCTTTATAGATCTTACCAATAGAAAAAGAGACCAAGCATCTTTTAGTGACTTTCATACCCCCACCATATTGTAGCCACTCAAATTTGTAAGGTTTGTGGGTGTACCTCAGTCTCCAAACTAAATTTAGTCACTATATCTTTTGAAACAACATTAGTGCAACTTCCACCATCAATAATCACTGGGCATACCTTTCCATGTGATGTACACCTCGTGTGGAACAGGTCCTCTCGTTGCAATGATTCTTCATCTTCATGTTCAATATTTAAGATACTCTGAAAAACAAGCATATCACCTTCATCAGGTTCTACATATACATCCTCATCTTCCTCATTAACTTCCTCAATTAGTGGGTTGTCTTCATGATTGGAATTATCTTCTTCATCAACCAACATAACAGCCTTTCGGTTCGGACAATCATCTTGCACATGCCCAAAACCTTGGCACTTAAAACATCTTCTCCTAGTTATATCCCCCTGAGGTTTCATTTCATCACCCTTTGAAGATGAATTAGAAGAATTACCTTTATGAATTACCTTGGAATTTCCACCACTACCTCTAATACTCCCATGGTTGTAGTAATCCTTCTTGGAGTATAATTTCTTTGGCTCTTTTTGTTGTTGTTCGATGTTGATGGCAAGCTTTCGTACATCATTGAATGTCTAATAAGGTTGTAGGCGAATAACATTGGAGATGGCACGCCTTAAGCCACCAATATATCATGTTATAGTTTGTTCCTTAGGTTCTTGGGTATCACACTTAATCATAAGGTATTCAAACTCTCGAGTATAGTCTTCCACGGTCTATTCTCCTTGGAAAAAGTTATGAAATTTAAGATAATTCTCTTATTTATACGTATCAGGAAGAAAATGTCTTCTAAGTTCTCTCTTCATCCTCTCCCATGTTCGAATCTTATCACGACCTTCTCTTTCTCGTTCTTGCTTCAAATTATCCCACCAAAGTGAAGCATATCCCTTAAACTTGATGGCAGTTATCTTAACCTTTTTCTCTTCAGAATAATTCTTAAACTCAAATATTCGTTCCACGGTCAATAACCACTCCATAAATGCATCTCCTTGTGCCTTTCCATCAAAATCAGGAACATCAACCTTCACATCATCCCTTTTCTCCCGAGTATGGTTCCTCCTTCTCCTTGGGCGATCAGAGTCATCGTCTCGTTGTCTCCTAGGAGGATCCAAATTTTCACTAGAGTCATCTCCATCAGCCATATTAAAGGGGTTAATATCATAGTCCCCTTCATTATCTTCCTTGGGTCTTCTACATCGTTCATGCCTTTCGTAGTGTTGGAGTTACCTCTGTAGTTGTTATATTGTCCTTCTCATCTCTTCCATCTCCATGTCATGATAGGATGCTCTTCCTTCACCTTCTTGAACCCAATGACATTTTCATGCTTGCATATAAGGTTCACCACCTGCTGCTCTGATAAGAAATTGATGTGATTCTTCGAGTTAACAAAGAACCAACCGACCAGGATCAAGATCTTAAAACAAAAATGTGGTTTATGGGCTGATTTCAAAAAATAACATATCTCAAGTTTTAGGACTCCGAATCTGATGATTCAAATATGAGGTGAAAGATGACGATCTAAACTATAAGAAAAACTATTTACTCATTCAAAATAAGTGAATATTGATGTTGCACCAGTATAATGAAAGTTACGATTCTATGATATCAAAAGAACGAATTTAAATCAAGAACTAAATAAGTTCCTAAAGTCACCACTTGGAATAAAATTAATGTGATAAAGAAATACCACACGCAATTGAAAACAAGATAAAGACTATCACCACCTTGCTTGGAACCAAAAACAAGGATAAAGAAGACAAAATAGAGAAAAACACGCTATTGTAAAACTAGGGCAAGCCTCAAAAACGTGAATTGCATTCTACAAGGCAAGAGAACCCTTTATATAGGCCTAGAATCTCTTATTTGATGACTACAATTCCTATTCTAATAAGAAAATAAAATAACTAAAGACAAAGAAAGTTAAATCCCTATTCTACAAGAAAAAAAAACTAGAATTCTAATAAAAGAAAAATCCTTATTCTCAAAGGAATAAAATAAATCCTATTTTAAGAAGGAAAGGGTCTTGGCTTCTTGAAATCAATCTTGGGCTTTTTGAACTTGAAGACACGTCCACACACCTATTCGTGGACATATAAGAACTTGTTTTTGGTGAGCTAAATATCAAAAGGCTAATACAGCTTCTTGATTTGCATCACTCTTATGGTCCGTGAATATGTACACATGACATACAAATAATGACGCCAAATCTTTGATGCAAACACCACTGCCGCAAGCTCTAAGTCATGTGTTGGATAATCCTTCTCATGGTTTTTGAGTTGCCTCAAAGCATAAGCAAGCACCTTACCATGTTGCATTAATACACACCCAAGTCCGACCCTTGAAGCATCACAATATACGACAAACCTATTTGTACCTTCTGGTAGGGTCAACATCTGTGTCGTGGTCAACCTTGACTTCAATTCTTGAAAGCTCCTCTCACAAGCATCTGACCATTGGAATTTAGTTTCCTTTTTTGTTAACTTGGTCAACGGAGAGGAAAGAGAAGAAAACCCCTCCACAAAAAATTTGTAATACCCAGCTAAGCCCAAGAAACTATGAATCACTGTCGGATTTGTAGGCCTAGGCCAATTCTTCACAACTACAATCTTCTGAGGATACACCTTGATTCCCTCACTGGAGAAAACTTGACCCAAGAAAGTGACGGACTCGAGCCAAAACTCACATTTCAAAAACATCGTATACAACTTCCGCTGATATAGAGTCTTCAAAACCGTTCAGAGATGATCGGCATGGTCTTCCTGACTTCGTGAATACACAAGGATATCGTCAATGAACACTATCACAAAAAAGTCGAGAAAAGGCTTGAAGAGTCGATTCATAAGATCCATGAAAGCCGCAGGATCATTCATTAGCCCAAGAATCGATTCATAAGGTCCTGGAAGCTATTTTCAGAATATCCTTCTTCTGTTTCTTCAATTGGTGATACCCCGACCTCAAGTTAATCTCACAAAAGTACTTAGCACCCTATAACTAATCAAATAGGTCGTCTATCCTTGGCAACGGGTACTTGTTCTTGATTGTGACCTTGTTGAGGTGCAAATAGTCGATGCACATCTTCAATGACCCATCCTTCTTCCTTACGAAGAGAACTGGTGTGCCCCAAGGAAACACGGCGGTTAGCGAAATCGACTCGCGATCCACATAACTGACCGCAGAATTGCCCTCTCTTGCCAACTCTTCTACCCACTTCACGATGCATTCCACATTTCACAAATCCATATGGCGACGAGCTTCATAAAACCCTTCAAACATATTAGCTTGATATTGGCACCTTAAATCCTTGGTGAACTTTTATGGGGCCTTACAGTTGCCTCCCATGAAGTTCCTGATTTAATTTAACGACCCGACCGATCGTCTTAATTTCTAGAATCCTATTTCCCTATTTGACGCTTCCCATAGTTTATCTTTTATGACCTATTGGGACGGTTGGTTTGGTTCTAGCGAGGTTCGAGAGTGAGTTTGAACACTTAACTTCATTTTAGAAACCTTAAATTGTAAGAGTTGGCCAAGATTTTAATTATATATAAATTATATCAAAATCGGTATTTGAAGGTTCCAATAGATCCCTATGATGATTTTGGACTTGAGCGTATGTTCGAATTTAGTTTAAGATGTTCCTAGGAGAATTCGGCACTATTTGTCGAAAGTTGGAATTTTGAATGATTTTGGAGTTCATAAGTTTGCCCATTAGTTGACTTTGATGTTTTCGAACTCTGATTGGTATTTTGGGATTATGGATAGGTTAATGTAATTGAATGAAACTTTTATGCAAAATTTGTTTGAGTCCTGAGGTGCTTAGGTATGATCGGACGTTTAGTTAGAAGTTTAGGAGCTTATGAACTTAAGAGAGTTCAACATGTAGTTTGGCCTTTGATTTTTAGATGTGATGATTATGTATATATTTTGAGGCCTTTTAGGTACATTTAGTGTTTGTGGACGTGTTAGAATGTTTGAATGGGGTCCCAGGAGGCTCCGAACAGTTTCAAACCACCCGGACCATGGTTGAGATTGCTGATTTTTGCTGGTGTCTGGTGTGCTTCGTAATCGCAGAGCTTGTCTCGCGGTCGCATAGGAGGTTTTGTGGTGGGAGATATTTTACCCATCGTGATTGCGTAGTTAGAGATGCGATCACGTACAAGAGAGAGAGGGCTGAGGCTTTTGGCCTTCGCAGTCCCATGGCTTCATTTCCTGATTGCTTAGCTTCGGCACGAGAGGAATATAAATTGTGTGGCTTAGAGTGCGATCGAATAGAAGGATTGGCCGAGGTTTGATTATTTTGCACGATCGCATGGGTACTATAGCAATTTCATAAGGGTGAGTCTTGCAGTCCTTAGCGATCGCAGGAGTAGTTTCGCGATCGCGAAGAGCATTTGGATCCAGAGATATTTTAAGTCCACAATTTTGGGATTCACCCATTTTTCACATTTTTGAGTATGCAAATGCACCAACTCTGCATACAAAAGAGATATTCACCAAGTAGCATTTACTCAAATATTTCTGCATACGTAGCGTGTCTACGTATTATAAGGACTCAAATTCACATCAATTCCCAAATGATGCTTATACAAATGCACCTACATGAGTCTAAAATATCAATGCATGATACAGATTCAAACTTTATATAACCGGCATTCTTTGTGCTTTGACACTCCCAATGTCAAACTACGCACACATGGTCCAATGTAAAATGGTTAATCACATGACTATGGAGGGATATATCTAAATCCTTGCGCCGTATAGACAGATCAATGTGCATAACGTAATATTCACAGATAACTCACTTTCCATAACATAATTTGCACGGACCACTTCAAATTCCATAACCATCTCGACTCCCGCGGACAATGCACGTATCATAATCATATCAACCGCATGGATAACTTATTGTGGCAAAATCTCAGTCCATATTAGGGAATCATATGCAGGGGTATATGCATATGTACAAGAGATAAATAAGTATGACACACATGGACAGAGAGATAAACATGCAGAGATATATGCATGTACACAAGTATGACTAAGGCCACATATAATCTGACATACAAAATAGCCTATCATATCAAAAAAAAGAATCAAAAACCTAGACATAATCTCTAGCATAAATAAGAAAGATCAAGTAGTCACACAAATAATTTAAAATATATCACAAGTAGATCATGTATCAAAACAAGGCATAAAGAAGCTTAAAACCTATCCTGAACATGGTATAACCTTAGTACCCATATATACGCTCTTCACCTCGCACATACGTCACCCCTAAACATATAGCATTTAGGATATAAGTACATTATAGGAAAATTTCTTCAAATCGAGGTTAAACAAGATACTTACCTCCTTTCGGAATAACTTCAACAAACTTTTGTTTGTTATTAGCCTCCAA